TGCCTCGTCTTCAAGGTATGGCCTCCCGTGCTCTTGTCTCTGGACTCCCCAGGTCCCTCCCTCCCCTTCCTCCGGGGCCTGCCCCCACCTGTGTTCCTTGTGTCGAGGGCCGGCAGCGCGCCGCTCCTCACTCCTCCTCGTTCCCTTCGACTGAGGCCCCTCTGCAGACTCTTCACATGGACGTGTGGGGCCCAGCCCGCGTCCGTGGACAGGGTCACGAGCGCTACTTCCTGCTGGTCGTTGACGACTACTCGCGTTACACCACAGTCTTCCCCTTGCGCAGCAAGGGTGAGGTCCCTGAGGTATTGATCGACTGGATCCGCGGTGCTCGTCGCCAGCTCAGTGAGAGTTTCGGCTCAGACCTTCCTGTTCTGCGTCTGCACTCAGACAGAGGCGGGGAGTTTTCCTCTGACCTCCTGAGAGCCTTCTGTCGTTTGGAGGGCATCCGCCAGACGTTCACGCTTCCGGCCTCCCCGCAGCAAAATGGGATTGCTGAGCGCCGCATTGGCATGGTCATTGACGTCGCTCGTACGTCCATGATCCATGCGGCTTCTCCCCATTTTCTGTGGCCATTCGCGGTTCAGTACGCTGCGCATCAGATCAACCTTCAGCCTCGTGTCTCCTTGCCGGAGACCACACCTACTCTGCGGTGGACGGGAAAGGTTGGCGATGCGTCCGCCTTCTGTGTCTGGGGATCTCGAGCTTTTGTCCGCGATACTACAGCGGACAAGCTGTCCTCCTGTGCCGTTCCCTCTATCTTCCTTGGCTTCCTTCCTGACGCACCCGGGTGGCAGTTCTACCACCCCACCTCGCGTCGTGTTCTGTCCTCTCAGGACGTCACGTTTGACGAGTCGGTGTCGTACTACCGTCTCTTTCCCTACCGCACTGCCTCTCCCCCCCCCCCCCCCCGCCGCTCTTCCTGGCACCAGGTACTCCCCCGGTAGACCCCCTCCCCCCCCAGGGGCCTGCCCCCTCAGGTGTGTCCCAGGTAGACCCTGCCGAGCCGGTCGAGGTAGCTGTCGACTCAGGTGCTGAGTCTGGGGGTGCTGAGCCTGCGGGTGCAGGGACTGGGGGTGCTGAGTCTGGGGGTGCTGAGTCTGGGCGTGCTGTGCCTGGGGGTGCTGAGCCTGGGCGTGTGGAGCCTGAGGGTACTGTGTCTGGAGGTGCTGAGCCTGCACGTGCTGCGTCTGGAGGTGCTCTAGGTGTCCCGCCGTGGCGGGAGCCTCTCTCTCCATAGCAGCTTCGTGAGTGGTACTCTCGGCGCTGTCAGGGTGCTGCTGGAGCTTCTGGAGGTGCTGCTGGTGCTGGTGCTGCTGGAGGTGCTGCTGGTGCTGGAGGTGCTGCTGGAGGTGCTGCTGGTGCTGGAGGTGCTGCTGGAGCTTCTGGAGGTGCTGCTGGTGCTGGTGCTGCTGGAGGTGCTGCTGGTGCTGGAGGTGCTGCTGGAGCTTCTGGAGGTGCTGCTGGTGCTGGTGCTGCTGGAGGTGCTGCTGGTGCTGGAGCTGCTGCTCGTGCTGGAGCTGCTGGAGGTGCTGCTGGTGCTGGAGCTGCTGGAGGTGGTGCTTGTGCTGGAGCTGCTGGAGGTGGTGCTGGTGCTGGAGCTGCTGGAGGTGCTGCTGGTGCTGGAGCTGCTGGAGGTGCTGCTGGGACTGGAGACCCTGGGGCTGAGGGTACCGGTTCTGTCTCTGCTGTTTCTGGAGGCGCTGTGCGGCCGCGGACGTACTACGTTCCGCTTCTTCAGCAGGTTCTTGGCTCCCCGCCTTCTCCTGGTCCTCCTCCTCTTTCCCTGAGTCCACCGCCTGTCCTGTCTCAGTCGCAGTTGCAGCCGGCCTCTCCACTGCCTGGTCCTTCTCCTTACTCTGGACCGACTAGAGGTCTTACGGAGCGTCGTGAGCCTGAGTCGCGTCCTGTGTCGCCTGTGTCTCATTCTACGTCGCCTGTCCGTTTTGTTTGTGCTGGTCGTGTTTCGCGTCCGCGTCCTCCTCCTGTCCCTGGCACTCACTCTATGACTCTGCGTCCTTCCACTGCTCCACAGCGTGTCCCTCTGCCCTCTCCTCCTTCGTCCTCTCTTCCTGTCAGTCCGGACCCTGCGTCTGACTCCCTCCGTGTTGCTCGTCCAGCTGTCACGCGTTTTCTGGCCACTGTTGTCACTGACCCTTTGTTTGAGTCCACTGCTGCGTCTGCTCTCGTTGCTGACCTTGTTGACTTTGCTGCTGCCTGTCGCTTAGACTTCGCCACTAGTCTTGTTGCTGAGTCTGCGTCTGCGTCTATCTGTCCTCCGTCCGTCGGGGGTGAGTGTGCTCTTGGCACGGACGTTCTTGAGTACAGACCGGAGGAGTTTGAGTGCTTTGCTGCATCTGTACCTCATCTCGTGTCCATGCTGCTTGCCCCTGAGGGAGACCCGGATGCACCAGACATCCCGACCCCGCGCTCTTACGCAGAGGCGATAGAGGGTCCCTACTCCTCTCAGTGGCAGGCAGCCATGGACGCCGAGATGGCTTCCTGGAAGTCCACACGCACCTACGTCGACGAGGTTCCCCCGCCTGGGGCGAACATCGTCAGTGGCATGTGGATCTTCAGGGTGAAGCGGCCGCCGGGTTCTCCGCCTGTCTTCAAGGCGCGTTACGTTGCACGTGGCTTCAGTCAGCGACAGGGAGTTCACTTCTTCCAGACCTTCTCCCCTACCCCGAAGATGACCACTCTTCGGGTACTGCTGCACGTAGCTGCTCAGCGTGATTACGAGCTCCACTCGCTTGACTTCAGCACAGCCTTCCTACAGGGCAGCCTGCACGAGGAAATCTGGCTGCGCCGCCCACCTGGCTTCACTGGGTCGTTTCCAGCTGGTACCCAGTGGAGCCTTCGGCGGCCAGTCTACGGTCTTCGCCAGGCACCTCGTGAGTGGCACGACACACTCAGGACGACTCTTGCTGCTCTTGGTTTTGCTCCTTCCACTTCTGACCCTTCTCTGTTCTTACGCACTGACACCACTCTGCCGCCGTTCTACGTTTTCGTGTACGTAGACGACCTCGTCTTTGCTACTGCTGACACTGAGGCACTCGCCCACGTAAAGTCCGAGCTGCAGAAGAGACACACGTGCACAGACCTGGGTGAGCTGACAAGCTATCTTGGCTTGCGGATCACCCGGGACAGAGCACAGCGCACCATTACCTTGACTCAGTCACACATGGTGCAGCAGGTCCTTCAGCGCTTCGGCTTCACATACTCCTCGCCACAGTCCACTCCTCTGCCTACCGGTCACTCGCTCTCAGCTCCACCTTCGGACGAGTCCGTAGAGCCAAGTGGCCCGTATCCAGAGCTTGTGGGCTGCCTCATGTACCTGATGACTTGCACACGACCTGACCTCGCATACCCTCTCAGCCTTCTGGCTCGCTACGTGGCTCCCGGCAGGCACCGAAAGGTGCACTGGGATGCTGCGAAGAGGGTGTTGCGATACTTGTGCAGTACATCGGGCATGGGGCTCGTGCTTGGAGGACGGGCTCGATTTGTCCTCACTGGTCACGCTGACGCCTCCTGGGTTGACGACTTGGCTACGCAGCGGTCGTCACAGGGTTACACCTTCAGTCTTGGCTCCGGTTCTGTCTCTTGGCGGTCTACCCGTTCTTCTTCTGTTCTCAGCTCCAGTTGTGAGGCTGAGATCTACGCTGGGGCCATGGCTGCACAGGAGCTACGCTGGCTCACCTACCTGCTGACCGACTTGGGAGAAGCGCCTCGTTCTCCTCCATTTCTGTACGTCGACAACAAGGCCATGCTGGCCTTGTGTCAGGAGCACAGATTGGAGCACAGAACGAAGCACATTGCTCTGCGCTACTTCCTTGCTCGAGAGTTGCAGCAGCGTGGCCAGCTTCGTCTTGCTTACGTGGCCTCTGAGGCCAACACTGCTGATGTTTTCACCAAGGCACTTCAGCCTTGTGATCATCAGCGTTTCTGTACTGTGTTAGGCCTTGTACCTACTGTGCCTCAGTTGCTGACTTCTTGACTCTGCTTGTAATGTACTCTATATACTTATACCTGCATGCTTACTCTTGCTAGGTTGTGTTCACTGTATTGTTTGCTTTCCTTTATATAACTCTGTATGTGAACTGGCCTTGTGGCCCTTTGCTTGTGCTCAGACTGCGTGGTGACTTTGTGATCCACCCTGAGCTTGCTTTACCTTCTTGACTGGTCTTGTGACCCCTTGTTCTCCCCCACTTTGCCTATGGGGGTGTGTCAAACTTATATATGCTATAGTCTGTGTAGGCTATAGTGGGGTAGTCCTTAGAGGGTACAACACTTTTGTGTTTGCTACTTGTACCCCACCTGTTTCCTAGTTCCATCATTCCTCTCATTATTCTCACAGTAAATTTTCTGAAACTCAATGTTACACTGATGTATCAGTGCAACGAAAATTTACACACTGATCAGAAGGGTTTTGAAAAAGGCTACACTGCTAATCGTGAGTAGCCAAAAACCAAACATAGGCCCTGCCCCCAACACACCCAGTACCCAATTCTAGCATTGCTTATTCAACCTAGACAAAACCTAAACAACAGCAGCTAGCTGTGAAGTTGCACAACGTGGTTCTCGCTTCCGATATTGCTCGTTGTGCAACCTCGCCTCGCTTCAAGACTGCCCTGTTTGCTTGCCAAGGGAAAGCAGCCCGTAAAAGGTCGCCACAGTCTCAACTCTTCTTGGCAAAGGAGACCAGCACGAGATAATCTGCCAACACAGGCTCCCGCGCCAACACTGGCTTTGCCACACCTGACTGCTGTACATCCGCCACGGGCCGTTCATTGCTCACCACCGGCTGCCCATTGCCCACCGCCGCCTGCCCATTGCCCACAGGCTGCGCCGCGCCCGCCCGCTGTGCTGCAACCGTTGGCTCTCCGACCACGGGCGTCAGGCTCTGAAAAACCTCCGCCACGTAGGTGGTGGTCGCGGGTGGGGAGGCGCGGCGGTGTCCCAAGCGGCGAGCTACAGGGGCAACAGCGGCGGCTTTCAGAGTTATGCTCCAGTTGACGCCGGCGACCACCTGGCTCTTGGCACTCTCGACCGAGACCAACTTGAGGCCCGTGCCCTGGCAGGGTGGGGTGGGGTGGGGTGGGATGGGGTGGGGAAGGAAGGGAAGCACTTGAGGCTTGTGACGGGGCACTTGAGACTTGAGGCTTCAGTGTTGGCTCAAAAGTCAACGCGGGTGGGGAGCCGCGGCGGCGTCCCAATGGGCGACCTCCTCCCACTCTCACCTCACCTCCTCCCACTCTCACCTCACCTCCTCCCACTCTCATCTCACCTCCTCCCACTCTCACCTCACCTCCTCCCACTCTCACCTCACCTCCTCCCACTCTCACCTCACCTCCTCCCACTCTCACCTCACCTCCTCCCACACTCACCTCACCTCCTCCCACTCTCACCTCACCTCCTCCCACTCTCACTTCTGATTCTAAGACGTCTCAGGCTCGACTGGTACGCACGTTAAAAGACAGACTGTCTTAAGACTCGGTACCTCTTTCTTGTTGTGCGCGTTGGCGAAACTGGCCAATTTTATCACTTCATGAATTTTTGCCGCGCCTTTCACGGCGGACCAGCCGCCAAGAAGCGATGATCCCGCCGCAGCGAACGGAAGCGAGGAGAGGACCACGGAGACGTGCCTAAAAACCGCATCATCTGACGCTTTTGAGGAGCTACTACCGTAACTGACGGTGACGGTATAAGTTTTGACTTCAGTCGATTTTAAAAGCAGCTGGAGCAACTTAAGGACATCGACGCATTTGCAGGTTCGTGTCACATCAGCCGGAGTTGATATGGTTTTTGAGTCTGTTTTCGAGCCGACTGAAAAGGCATCTGGGACAAATCTTCGACGCAGGTCGGCTGTAGCGCAGGCAGGACAAATGCTTGTTACGTTTCCTTGGTAGACTTTTGTTGATTCGAGTTTGTTTTTCAAGAATTCTCAAGAAACAGATTCATCTGGGACAAATCATCGACGCAGGTTGGCTGTATAGCAGGTCAAATGCTCGTTACGTTTCCTTTGTAGACTTCTGTAGATCCGAATTCAAGGCAGAGCGCTGTTTACGGTTCGTCGATGTCTGAAGCCACAAGTTCGTCAGTTAGGGCCTGTATACGTCTAAAGGAACTGGTCAAAGACGTATCTTTTACTGTGTACAGCATATCAGCAGCGTTGAAATCACTTTTGAGAATTCTCACAAGTGATTTTTACGGTCTGTATACGTCTGAAGGAACTGGTTCAAGGCGTCTCATTTGCCGGATACAGCATGTCAGCAGCGGTAATTGAAGGCTCGTATGTGCTTAGCTCAGCTCGAGATGGCGATATCTGCTTCATAAGAAACCCTTATCCGCCTTCTCCCTCCACAGTTATAGGCCCCAGCACACTGCATGTCAGTTGGGGAGAGGAAGGCTCATCTTTGCACCCTGGCTCAACTGAGGGAGGTGTTATCTGCGTTGCAGGCGCAGGTGCAGGCTGAGGTGGCAACGCATCATGACGACCTGCTGCAGCATCTGTCCTCGTTAAAAAACACGTAGGGCTATATCTGTGCTGAAGTGGCCAATCTACTCTTCCACCTTCCCCCTTTCCTCCTCGTTTCTTCCCTTTGCCCTTCCATAGGCCCTAGCACACAGCATGGCAGCAGGGGGAAAGGAGGGTTCATCTGTGCTCACCGCGGCTCAGCTGGGGGAGGTGATATCTGCGCTGCAGGCGCAGGTGCAGGCTGAGGTGGCAACGCATCATGACGACCTGCTGCAGCATCTGTCCTCGTTAAAAAACACGTAGGGCTATATCTGTGCTGAAGTGGCCAATCTACTCTTCCACCTTCCCCCTTTCCTCCTCGTTTCTTCCCTTTGCCCTTCCATAGGCCCTAGCACACAGCATGGCAGCAGGGGGAAAGGAGGGTTCATCTGTGCTCACCGCGGCTCAGCTGGGGGAGGTGATATCTGCGCTGCAGGCGCAGGTGCAGGCTGAGGTGGCAACGCATCATGACGAGCTGCTGCAGCAGCTGTCCTCGTTAAAAGACACAGAGGGCGTGCTGTCTGTGGTGCGCGCTGGAGTCGACTCGTTACTAGCCTCTGTCCAGGTGCGTTTTTGTGTATGCTTGAAGAGAGAATTAAGAGGACGATGAGCGAGAGAGTGCAAGAGAGAGGAGGGAAACTGGTCTGGATATGCTGTTGTGAATCACTTTTTTTGTGTGGCGAATAATGGACATAGTGAAGAACTATATCCAATAACCAATTTGCAAAGTGCCTACGTGTGTGCTTTGTCTATTTCCCACCCACAGCGCGTGCGGGCAGAGATAGCAGACCCGTATCAGGCCATTCAGGTGAAGACACGTCAGCTGGCAGCTCTGTACGACACCATGGAGCTGCTGCGAGCCGTCATTAAGTACCTCAAACTGGTGAGCTCTGATTTTATAAGGTCGACTAGATCTTTTGCGTCGATTCAAACGTCACCTGGACACGTGAGCTGGCCGCCCTGTACGACACCATGGAGCTGCTGAGGGCCGTCATCAAATACCTCAAACTGGTGAGTAGAGATTGACTACCTGTTGGTGAATGGAGATTAACTACCTGGTGCTGAATGGAGATTAACTACCTGGTGGTGAATGGAGATTAACTACCTGGTGCTGAGTAGTGGTTAAGAAACTTCAAGTTGCTAATTCGGGGGTATCAGATGGGGAGTCAAGGGTTAATCGATTGGGGATGGGGTTCAAGTTCAAGGAGGTTCAAAATCTCTGCTGCGAGGTATTGGGGGGAACTTCTTGAACCTCCCCTTCCCTCCCCCCTACACGTTTCCTCCAGGTGCGGAAGCTGAGGGAGCATTTGAGTGGGGGAGTGGAGAAGGCGGAGCTGGGGAAGGCGGGGCAGGTGTGGCAGGAGGTGGGGGCGGTGCACAGGGAGGCGCAGCTGGGGGGGGTGCATGTGGTGGAGGCGCAGCACGAGTGGGTGGCGGAGGCAGGGCAGGCTATCAGGAGGGAGGCAATGCGGGCGCTGGAGGGGGGCATGGAGGCGATGAACCAGGCTGAAGTGGGCAGCGTGCTGCAGGTGAGAGATTTGGATTGGTTGGGATGGATGGGACTGGTTGAGGAGTTGAGGGGAGTGGACAGAAATGGGGGGAGTGGAGAGGAATAGGGGAATGAGAGCATGGAGGCGATGGGCTAAGTTGTAGTCAGCAGTAGCATGCTGTAGGGGAGAGTGACTTTTGAGGCGCCTCAGAAAGAGCATGCTGCAGGGGAGAGAGTATAGAAGTTCCAGAAAAAGGGTTGGAAAGAAGAGAAAAGTGAGGGGCGATGGATGGTAATGAAAGCGGCGCAATTGCCTGTCTTGATGCTTCCTCGCCCCCATTCCTCTACTTCCCTTCAGGCGCTTTTCAGCACTGAGAGTCCTCAAAGCTGCGGTTTCTATTGCTATATCGGTTTCTTGCAGGTGTTTTTCAATATGGGCGAGCTGAGGCAGACGGTGGATCAGCTAGTAGCGAAGCACAAGGGGCAGGCCATGCGAGCAGTGGCCACAGGGCTAGACATGAAGGTACGAGCTTCCCTTCCCCCACCCCCTGATTCCACGTAAACGTGCTTCGTTTGGCTCTTCTGGGTTTGAAAGGTATATGGGACGTTCTGAGGCTTCCATGGAGCACAAGGGGCAGGCCATGAGAGCAGTGGCCAAAGGGCTAGACATGAAGGTGTGGTGATATGATATGGGGGCTTCTCCCTTCCCCATCCAAGTGCTCATGAAGCTTCCCCACCCGTATGCATCCCATTGTGGCATTCGCGTGTCTATTCCCTCACACATACCTTGTCGCTCCCACAAGCCTCACTCAATGTTTGTTTACCCTTTTCCTGCTCGACCCTCATTGCGCGCGCGGCGCTATGCATTTCCCCACCCGGTTCTCCCCACCCTGTTCTCCCCACCCGGTTCTCCCTGTAATCAGGCTATCAGCGCCAGCATGGGAGCTTCAGGCGGCGGAGGAGGGATGGGCGGGTCAGTAGGCGGACCAGGTAAGCCTGATTTCTTCGGTGGTGAGGTGCATAATAAATAGACCAGGTATGCTTGTAGGCAGCTGCAGCGGGACACTTGTATGCTTCATTTGAGACGAACCACAACCAATCTTCCATCTCTGAATGCTTGTGACTGTATGGTTTGAACCCAGGACTCGACTTTTGAGGAGCCTCAAAGAACCCAGGACTCGTGTGTCCTTGACTTGAAGCAATACTTCAGATTTTTAACTTTTTTTTCGAAGGAAACTTGACCTTCTGAAGTCGAGACGAGCGTGGATGTCACTCGGAAGGAAGGGTACTAGTTTCTACTCGACGACCTTCCCACTTGCCCGCCCCCACTCCCCCTCCCAACGCCTCTCTCTCCCTTCCCAGTTTTCCCCTTTCTTCAAGTCAAGTGAGCTCTCTCTCTCTCTCTCTCTCTCTCTCTCTCTCTCTGTCCCATGATCCCATCTTTCGCTCTCTTGCCAGGAACATCGTCTTCATTTTTTTCTCCCGTTTCTTTAGAATTCTCAAGAAAATAATGCTTTCTGCAACGTGCAGCGGCACTCAACTGGTGGCCTTTAGAGCAAGGGAGCCCCCATATCTCCTCGCCCTCCCTACTCCCCACCATCTCCCCCTTTCCCCCCCCCACCCCTCCCCCGTCACCACCAACCTCCCTCGTACTTATCCCCTTGGTGCCCCCCTCTCTTCCTTCCTTCCCCACCAGGAGGAGCCATGCACAGAGGCAATCCCCCAATGGGCGGCGTCCCCAGAGCCCAGGAGGCGCTGTGGCGGCTGAGTTGGTTCAAGGCTCATCTTCTCCTTCCCCTTCCCCTTCCTCCCCTCCCTGTATTATTCACCTAAACCTCCTACCTACCCACCCCCCCCCCCCCCACCCCCCCAACTTCCCCCTCCCCAGGAGGAGCCATGCGCAGCGGCACGCCCCCAATGGGGGGTGCCCCCAGAGCCCGGGAGGCGCTGTGGCAGCGGCTGACTGGATGCCTGGATGAGCTGGCGCGCGTGATGGTGCTGACGTGGCACCTGCAGCGAGTGATGGCGAAGAAGCGAGATCCGATTTCGCACCTTGTGTTCCTCGACCACGTGCTGCAGGTGTGGTGAGGGGTGGGGAGGTATACGGGGGTGTGCATTGCAGTGCAGGTGCTGCTGCAAGCACAGAGATCCCGTCTCGCACCTTGTGTTCCTGAACCACGTGCTGCAGGTGTGGTGAGGGGTGGGGAGGTATACGGGGGTGTGCATTGCAGTGCAGGTGCTGCTGCAAGCACAGAGATCCCGTCTCGCACCTTGTGTTCCTGAACCACGTGCTGCAGGTGTGGTGAGGGGTGGGGAGGTATACGGGGGTGTGCATTGCAGTGCAGGTGCTGCTGCAAGCACAGAGATCCCGTCTCGCACCTTGTGTTCCTGAACCATGTGCTGCAGGTGCGTTGTGTTTTGAGTCAACTTAAAGCCCACGTGGGGGGGGAGTGGGGAGGGAATGTTTGCGGGGTTTTTTGTGTTATGTTCTGCAGGGGAAGTGGATACTAAGGTGGCAGGGCTTGCAAGAAGCGAGATCCGATCTCACGTGTCGTGTTCCTGGACTGGACCACTGAGGTGATTTTTAGGCGCCTCAAAACCGCGAGCAGCGAGGTGATTTTTTAGGAGCCTAAAAAATCGCCTAAAAAATCATCTCACATGTCGTGTTCCTGGACTGGACCACGTGCTGCAGGTGGGGGAAGGGGTAGGGGTAGTGCGGGGGGGCGGGGAGGATTTTGCTGCCACAGTAACAGAGATCCCATCTCGCACGTGGGTGTGCCTCGATAATCGTCTCACTACAGGGGGATAGGCAAGTGGGCTTGCAGCGGTTCGAATGCAGCCATTCTCAACGGTTCTACCAGCAGTGAGACCTTGTCTCGCGCCTGTCTCCTCCAGCAGTGTGGGAGGCGTTGCTCCGCGCCTTCTTATCGCAGCTGCGAGCCACTCGCCCCACCGCCCATCACCCCTGGTCTTACCCTCCTGTTCTTCTCTCTCTCCCCTCTCCCACCTCCCCCGGCCAGTCAGGGGACGCCCTACCCACGGAGCGAGTATGGGAGGCGTTGCTCCGCGCCTTCTTATCGCAGCTGCGAGCCACTCGCCCCACCGCCCATCACCCCTGGTCTTACCCTCCTGTTCTTCTCTCTCTCCCCTCTCCCACCTCCCCCGGCCAGTCAGGGGACGCCCTACCCACGGAGCGAGTATGGGAGGCGTTGCTCCGCGCCTTCTTATCGCAGCTGCGAGTCACTCGCCCCACCGCCCATCACCCCTGGTCTTACCCTCCTGTTCTTCTCTCTCTCCCCTCTCCCACCTCCCCCGGCCAGTCAGGGGACGCCCTACCCACGGAGCGAGTATGGGAGGCGTTGCTCCGCGCCTTCTTATCGCAGCTGCGAGCCACTCGCCCCACCGCCCATCACCCCTGGTCTTACCCTCCTGTTCTTCTCTCTCTCCCCTCTCCCACCTCCCCCGGCCAGTCAGGGGACGCCCTACCCACGGAGCGAGTATGGGAGGCGTTGCTCCGCGCCTTCTCCTCCCAGCTACGAGCCACGTTCACCGCCTCCTCCTTCGTCAAAGAGACCTTCGTCTCCGCCTATCCCCGCCTCCTCGCCTCCCTAGAATCCTTCCTCGACCGCCTACAGGCGGACACAGACGTGCGCGTGCTGGGGGGAGGGGGAGGGGGAGTCGGGGGAGGAGCGGGAGGAGGGGGGTTTGGGTTGGGAGCGGTTGGAGGTGGTTCTGTGGTGGCTGGTTCGTGGGCCAATGGCGGCACGCCGGCGGTTATTTCTGTGGAGCATCGCGCGCAGATGATGTCTGCTCTTGAGCCGTTTCAGGCCGCGTATCTGGCCCTCTCGCTCTCTAGAATGACGGATCCGATTAACACGATGATGCCAGGAGCAGGGGGTGGGAGGGGGGGTGTGCCGGGGCCAGAGGCGGGGGTGAGGCTTATAACGAGGATGGAGGAGGAGGTGGAGGCGGTGAAGGGGAATGGTCGGCTGCTGAGGCTCGTGCTGGCGAATGCTGGCAAGGCTCTGCAGCTGCTGGCAGAGCGATGTGAATACCAGGTGGGTGGGATTGGGAGATGGTGTACGTGATGGTGTGTGGTGGTGTATGGGGCATGCCCTGTCATGGGCTTGTCACTCATGCTGGCGAGTGCTGGCAAGGCTCTGCAGCTGCTGGCAGAGCGGTGTGAATACCAGGTGTGTGTGGGATGGGTGTGGGCGCATGTGTGTGGTAATGCGTTGTTCTGGCGAATGCAGGCAACGCTCTGCATGCAGGTGCCTGTGTGTTCTACTGGTAGCAGTGCACTCACTACTTTTTCTCTTTATCCTTCTAACTAACCTTTCCTTTTCCCCATTACACCTGTAAGAAATGAGCTTGGAATCGATGCATTAGTAATGAGCTTAAAGCTCCTTACATACATCCGAGATGAGCAAGGTAATGGATGGGGAGGGAATCCGGGGCAATCCCTAGGGATTGGGGGTAATCCCAAGAAAATCTCCTTTTGGTGGGTTGGAGATTGCTTGGTGATTACATTTGGGTTTGGTTGGGATGTTGTACACCCAACCAAACACAAAGTGCAAGATACACTATGCTAGGATATAATAAGTACAAGTACAAAATGTGAGACTGAGGGTTAACACTACCCCTTTCCCCGTTTCTCCCTACGCCCTCCAGGTCGCTACCGGTCCCGAATCTCGTCAAGTCCTGGCTCCCTGCTCGCCAGCGCAGCAGCGCAACATCTCCCTGTGCGTGCTGCTGGGGGCGGTGCACTCCCGCTGTATATGCACCTGCTCATTCCGCTGTCCCTCTCCTCCACTCCCCCTATGCTTTGCTCTCCAGGTGGCCACCGGTCCCGAGTCCCGGCAAGTCCTGGCCCCCTGCTCGCCAGCGCAGCAGCGCAACATCTCCCTGTGCGTGCTGCTGGGAGCGGTGCACACACGCTGCATGCAGCTACTCGCCCGCCTGCCAGAGGAGGCGGACTCCGTGATGGAGGCGGGTGTGGGGTCCGTGCACGGGGTGGCCATGGATGCTGTCGCTCCGCTCTTCAAGGTGGGTAAAAGCATCAACTCCTGCATTCCGGGTGCTAGCATTTGATGGCACATCAGGCTCCTGCACGCTGCATGCTGCACCTGCTGTGTGCGCTGCATGCAGCTGCTGGCCCGCCTGCCAGAGGAGGCAGACTCTGTGATGGAGGCGGGCGTGGGGTCCGTGCACGGGGTGGCCATGGATGCTGTCGCTCCCCTCTTCAAGGTGGGTTCATATCATCATGTTTCATCCCGACACTCCATAATCACAATTCGTTGTGTCTTGCATAGGGCACCGTGTGATGGAGGCAGGTGTGGGGTCCGTGCATGGGGTGGCCATGGATGCTGTTGCTCCGCTCTTCAAGCTGGGCTTATACCATGTCTCATCTGCACACACAAATGGTTGTGCCTTGTAGCCTGCATCGTGCACCAGACTCCGTGATGGAGGCGGGTGTGGGGTCCGTGCACGCATGGAGTAGCCATGGATGCCGTGGCTCCCCTCTTCAAGGAGCGCTCATCTTGTGCTCCATGCACATGATTGTGCGCTCACCATGCGCACCACATGATTGTGTTTTGCGTCTTGCATCCTCCATCTGACTCTGTGATGGAGGCGGGTGTGGGGTCCGTGCACGCATGGAGTAGCCATGGATGCCGTGGCTCCCCTCTTCAAGGAGCGCTCATCTTGTGCTCCATCGGGAGACCAGAGCAACTCATAAACAAACCAATCTTTTCCGTTCTATTTCCCCATTCCACTCCCTCCCTGTCAGGCCATGCGGGATCGCATCGAGGCCTGCCTCCTCCAGATCCACCAGCAGGACTTCTCCTCAGACGACCCCAACGCCCCTCCCTCTTTTGCCCGCCCCGTTCCCCTGCCCACTTTGTTTCTTCCTCCACACACACCTGTACTCTCCCTCTCCCCAGGCCATGCGCGATCGCATTGAAGCCTGTCTGCTGCAAATCCACCAGCAGGACTTCTCCTCAGACGACCCCAACGCCCCTCCCTCCTCCACCACCCCGCCACCCCCCGGCTCGGCCTCAAGAAAACGCGCCAGCAGCAGCGGGGGCTCCAGACCACCCCAGAAGCAGAACCAGCAGCAGCACGAGTCAGCGGGGGACAACTGCTCGCCATACATGGAGAACACCATTCGAGCCATCACCCACTTCCACTCCGAATTCCTCTCCAAGCTTCTTCTCCTCTTCCTTCCCCCTTTCCCCCCCCTATCCAGGCCATGCGGGATCGCATCGAGGCCTGCATTCTCCAAATCCACCAGCAGGACTTTGCCTCAGACGACCCCAACGCCCCTCCCTCCTCCACCACCCCGCCACCCCCCGGCTCGGCCTCAAGAAACCGCGCCAGCAGCAGCGGGGGCTCCAGACCACCCCAGAAGCAGAACCAGAATCAGCAGCAGCAGCACGAGTCAGCGGGCGACAACTGCTCGCCATACATGGAGAACACCATTCGAGCCATCACCCACTTCCACACCGAATTCCTCTCCAAGCTTCTTCTCCCTGACTCCTCCTCTACCTCCTCCTCCTCCGCAGCGCCGGCCTCGTCCATATTCGCTGCATCTCTGTCCGGTGCTGCGGGATCAGGCCCTCTCTCTCCCTCCACAGCCCTGCCCCCTGCGACTGTCTCTGAGCCTGTTGCGCAGTCTCTCGCGAAACGGTAAGCTTGTTCTTTAGACAGTCGCTGTATCGTCCATATTCGCTGCTTCTCTATCCGATGCTGCTGCCTCGGGCCCTCTGTCCCCTTCCACAGCCCTGCCCCCTGCGACTGTCTCGGAGCCTGTTGCCCAGTCCCTCGCCAAACGGTAAGCTCGAAATGTCTTTGGGTCGTCCATATTCGCTGCATCTCTGTTGGGTCCTGCTGCCTCGGGGCGGCTGAGGCTGAGCTGACTCTCTCTGTCCCCCCATTCCCCTCCGCTCCTCTCATTCTCCTCCCCCCCACCAGCCTGGCCTCCATCACGCTGCTCTTCTTTGCGCGCCATGCCTCGCTGGTGCGGCCAGTATCAGAGGGGGGGTGGTTGTGGCTGTGCTGACTCCCCCTGTCCCCCCATTCCCCCCCTGTCCCCTCGTTCTCCCTCCCAGCCTGGCCTCCCGCACGCTGCTCTTCTTTGTGCGCCACGCCTCGCTGGTGCGGCCACTCTCGGAGGCGGGGCGGCTGAGGCTGGCGAGGGACATGGGCGAGCTGGAATTCGCAGTGGGGCAGCACCTCGCACCCACACACGCTTCCCTTTATACGATATCCACTTTCTCCTCGCCCTCTCCCCCTCCCCTTTCCCCTCCCCCTCCCCCTGCCCTCTCCACATTCTCTCCCCCCACCCCCTCTCAGCCTGGCATCCCGCACGCTGCTCTTCTTTGTGCGCCACGCCTCGCTGGTACGACCACTCTCGGAGGCGGGGCGGCTGAGGCTGGCGAGGGACACGGGCGAGCTGGAATTCGCCGTGGGGCAGCACCTCACACCCATTCACGCTTCTCTTTATACGATTTCCACTCTCTCCTCCCCCTCCCCCCATCCCCTTCCCCCTCCCCCTCCCACCCTCTGCTTTCTCCCATTCTCTTCTCTCCCATCAGCCTGGCATCCCGCACACTTCTATTTTTCGTCCGCCATGCCTCGCTGGTGCGACCGCTATCAGAGGCGGGGCGGCTGAGGCTGGCGAGGGACATGGGCGAGCTGGAGTTCGCAGTGGGGCAGCACCTCTTCCCCACGCACGCCCTCGGCGCCTCCTACCGCGCCCTCCGTGCCTTCCGCCCTCTTCTCTTCGTTGACCTCGAGAAGATTCCAACCAGCTCGCTGATGCAGGTCAGTCCCTCAGCTCATATCAACGATAGTGATAAGAGTGATTGTAGCGATCCGTGGTCTGTTATGGACGAGCTGGAGTTCGCAGTGGGGCAGCACCTCTTCCCCACACACGCCCTCGGCGCCTCCTACCGTGCTCTCCGCGCCTTCCGCCCTCTCCTCTTCGTAGACCTCGAGAAGATTCCAACCAGCTCGCTGCTGCAGGTCAGTCCTTCAGCTCATATCAACGATAGTGATAAGAGTGATTGTAGCGATCCGTGGTCTGTTATGGGCGAGCTGGAGTTTGCAGTGGGCCAGCGTCTCTTCCCTACACATAATAGGGGCCTCCTACCGTGCTCTCCGCGCCTTCCGCCCTCTTCTCTTCGTTGACCTCGAGAAGATCCCCACCAGCTCGCTACTGCAGGTCAGTCAGTCGGGTAATTGTAATGAGAGTCTCTGCATTAGTATAGAGGTCGCATCCCAGTGGGGCAGCATCTCTTCCCCACACACGCCCTCGGTGCCTCCTACCGTGCTCTCCGCGCCTTCCGCCCTCTGCTCTTCGTGGACCTGGAGAAGATTCCAACCAGCTCGCTGCTGCAGGTGCGTCCATTGGTTGTAACAAAGGTGGTTACCAATATGCCAGTGCTGGTTTACTCCCATTAAAGCTGCGGTCTACATACAAAGTGGTGTTTTTTGGGGGTATTTTTTATGCCCACCCTTTCGTGCGGCCTGATTGGAGAACGAAGTCAGCATGTTTCAGAAACACCGCAGCAGACGAACTCAGACTGGAAAAGCGAATCCAGCCCAATTTCGTGCTAACGCGTGGATTGGGGGAGGGTCTGCGGAAGGGCGGGAAACAACCTGGGGAGTTCGGTTTCGGGCGGAAAGAACCCCAACCCCCTCTCTCCACCCCCCTCAACCGTTAGCTTTGCAGGAAAGTGGGCCCAGTCCAAAAACTGGTCACCCTGTTTTCAAGTGATAATCTCAGGCCTCCCGCTCAACGTATGTAGACCGCAGCTTTAATGAGTTCACATCGCAGTGGGGCGAGGGACATGGGCGAGCTGGAGTTTGCAGTGGGCCAGCATCTCTTCCCTACACATAATAGGGGCCTCCTACCGTGCTCTCCGCGCCTTCCGCCCTCTCCTCTTCGTTGACCTCGAGAAGATCCCCACCAGCTCGCTACTGCAGGTCAGTCAGTCGGGTAATTGTAATGAGAGTCTCTGCAGTAGTATAGAGGTCGCATCCCAGTGGGGCAGCATCTCTTCCCCACACACGCCCTCAGGGCCTCCTACCGCGCCCTCCACGCCTTCCGGCCGCTGCTGTTCGTGGACCTCGATAAGATTCCAACCAGCTCGCTGCTGCAGGTCAGTCCCTCAGCTCATATCAACGATAGTGATAAGAGTGATTGTAGCGATCCGTGGTCTGTTATGGGCGAGCTGGAGTTTGCAGCGGGCCAGCACCTCTTCCCCACGCACGCCCTCGGCGCCTCCTACCGTGCTCTCCGCGCCTTCCGCCCTCTTCTCTTCGTGGACCTGGATAAGATCCCCGCCAGCTCGCTGCTGCAGGTCAGTCAGTCAGTGTGTTTATTACATACTACATGTAGTCAGAGGTTCGGAGTGGGGCAGCACCTCGCACCCACACACACCCTCGGCACCTCCTACTGTATCCTCTGCGCCTTCACGGCCCTTCTGTTCCTGGCCTTTATGAATATCGCAACTAGCCTTCTTTGTCCTCTCACTCCCGCTCTATGATAAAAGGGTTGTTTTGAGACTTCTCAAAACTGTTCACTCACTCCCGCTCTCCCCACTTGCTCTCATGTCTCCCCTCGCCCATTTTACCCAGGACCTCCCTCCAAGCGTGGTTCTCCACCACCTCTTCTCCCGCGCGCCCCCTGAGCTGCTCTCCCCATTCACCTGCTCGTTGCCTCACTATAATTTTCCCCCTTCTCCCCCCGGACCCCCCTACTCACCCCCCCAGGACCTCCCTCCAAGTGTTGTCCTGCATCACCTCTTCTCCCGCGCGCCCCCCGAGCTGCTCTCCCCGTTCACACGCATTCAGCAGCCTCCAGCGCGCTACTCCCTCTGGCTGGACCAGCACTCGCAGCAGCAGGCGTGGCAGGGCATCAAGGCGTCATTAGATGATTACGTGGGGAGTGTGAAGGCGAGGGGTGGGAAGGAGTTTCACCCGGTGTATGCTGTGATGCTGCAGCTGGGACAGACGCTGTTGGTGGGAGGTAACGAGGGCAAGTAGTGCTCCCTCTGGCTTTTTTCGGGGCCCCTCAAAATAGCACTCACTCTTTCTGGACCAGCACTCGCAGCAGCAGGCATGGCAGGGCATTAAGGCGTCATCAGTAGACGATTACGTGGGGAGTGTGAAGGCGAGGGGCGGGAAGGAGTTTCACCCGGTGTATTTGGTGATGCTGCAGCTGGGGCAGTCGCTGCTTCTTGGGCCAGGCAATGAGGGCAAGTAGCTCTCCCTCTGGCTGGACCAGCACTCGCAGCAGCAGGCATGGCAGGGCATGAAGGCGTCATCAGTAGAGGATTATGCAGGGAGTGTGAAGGTGAGGGGTGGGAAGGAGTTTCACTCGGTGTATTATTGGTGATGCTGCATCTGGGGCAGGCTCTGCTGGCAGGAGGCAACGAGGGCAAGTAGTTTCATTAGTGGCATTGGTGTCATCTGCTGTTAGGTTTGGAATGTCCCAGAACTGGCGGGAGTTCAAGTTTGGTAGGTGCTGATGGCACAGTGGTAGCGGCAGCGAGACCCTGTGATGAGTTGCTTTCCAAACACTCATACCGGTATATATTCATCTAAACATACCGTAATACCCCGGATATAAGACCCCCTCCAGTTGTAGACCCCCGGGTCTATAATACGGAGGGGGGTACGCTAAATGGGTTGTTTTTGTTATACCCCCCTAAATGGGGGCTAACATTATAAGACCCTCCTCCCCCTAGAGAATCGGTCGTTTTATTGGCAATGAATGCAATTCTGATAGCTTTTCTGCCCCTTTCCGCACCATATCCCATAAATTTTTCATTAATGAGGGGTATAGCCAGTCGCAAAAGCACATATACGCATCATCATGTCAATTTCGTGTAATAATTTTGTATGCTAAATACGAATTTCATTGCGCGCATTCCCTTTGAGGCTAAAAACGAAGCACATAGTGTTGACATGTATGACTTCCAAAACACAAGAAGTATACTTGACCTTATGATAAGACCCGGGTCTTATAAAATGTAGCCAACTGTTAAGACCCCCCCTCATTTTTGGGGTGGGATTCTTATAATACCCCCGGGTCTTATATCCGGGGTATTACGGTATTACAACGAAGTGCACAACCTCTCTCTAGATTTGCCTCTAGATTTAGAATTCAACACTTGCGAACCAACAAACCTCCTGCCATGTCTCTCGAGCGTCTCAATCAACCATGTGAAACAGAAGACGTCATGAGGCTTCTGTTCTGTCTCAACACAACATCGCAGCAACCAGCCCAGGTCCACACTTTGCCTTGTCGAAGGAGAGCAGCACGCGGAAGCCCGACCACGGCTGATCCCAGATCTCCGCCACGTAATCAGTCAGCGGTGCGACTGCGCGGCGCCCCAGGGAGTTGCTCGGTGAGGACTGTGTGACGCGCAGAATGATTTGCCACTTGTCGCCGTCCACCACCTTGTGCGACGCCGCCTTGACAGAACGGAACTTGAGGCTTGATTTCTGGTAGGGTGGAGTGGGGGGAAGGGAATGGGATGTTTCCGTTGTGCCACACTACTATTCCAGGGAAGGTACGTCTTCCTTGTCATGATTTGATTTCGAGATAAGCACTGATGGCGGAAAAGCAAGAATGGCGAGAAAGAACACATGGCGAGAAAGCAATGATAGCGAAAAAGCAATGACCACGAAAACAATGATGGCGCGAAAGCAATAATAGCGAGAAAAGCTGTTCGTGCTACCTGTTTCTTGTTCTGCTCGTCCACGGCGAATCTGGCCAGAGCCTCCACGTCCTTACTCGTCGCCGCGTGTGTTTTGAGTCCACTTGGAAGCAATCATGGCCAGATTTTTTTTTTTACGTACCTGTTTCTTGTTCTGCTCGTCGACGGCGAATCTGGCCAACGCCTCCATGTTCTTACTCGTCGCCGCGTTTTTCACGGTGGTCCAGGGGCCAGGAAGGCCAGACGCCGCGGCGGATGGAAACGAGGAGAGGAGCGAAACGACGACGACGACTGCGGTAACCGCAAGCACGGCGTGCTTAGTAGGGTTCAGGTCGTGACTGGCGATGCGCTGACCCATATTGGTCGTTACTTAGAAGCTCCCTGGATATCGGATATCGGGATAGGAAGAATGATAGGATCGATAGGACTGATAGGAGTCAAGAGGATATCGAAGAGGCGGATCACTGTCGTACACCAAAAGGGTTCTCCCTCCTTTGCCGGAAACCCTTGCTAATTATACCGCATATGATCCGCCAGCTAGTCGTGAACGGCTGGTTCCTCCTGGCGGTGAACGGATTTATTGGTTGGGCCATGGCTGCTCTATGGGACAGCAATAAGTGCTGGCTCGCTGGTGTCATAATTCTGATACAACCAATGAACGAGCGACACGACGACTGCTTGTGATGCGTGAAAATAGCTGCTGGCTAGTAGCTAGCGCCATAAATTATTTACGAAACGAGTTTGCTTTGCAAACGCGCAAGATGGCAGCTGATAGGCTACCGCGTGTTGTGCTGGCTCGGCAAACGCCATACACGGCGGGTCCTGCGCGTTTACAGTTCATAAGTCGTGGCGCAAGACGATTCCAGACGGTGCACAGCGGTTATCAGGCTTCACCGTTTCGCACCGTGACGCAACAAGAGTAACCGCACAGAACGTAGTCAACCAAGTTCGAATGTGAACGCGAGTGAACGCGCAAGATGGCAGCTGATAGGCTTCTGCGTGGAAGTGCAAGCTCGGCAACACCAATGCTCGGCTGCCCGAACGGGTAGGGCGGGGCGGCGGCTGCGGAGCGGAGGAATTGTGATACTAGGCAGGCAATTCAATTCGGTTATTGGTTCGACTCGAAAATCACCTCCACTTCTGTCACAAGATAATTAAATTGGCGCGGAAGTGTACAGCGAACAATGTACACCGAACAATGTCACATGACACTTAGACTGGTTTCTGTTACAACTATAGTTACAGGTATATTTGTTCAATTTTCACTTAAAGCTCGCGTCTCATATTTCTGCCATCCAACCAAGTGTTAAACGGTTGGAATCCGGTAACAGCAGAGTTTGTCGCGAAGCACACCAAAGCAAGGGGTGGTTGGGAAAGTTGGCTGTCGCACACTTCCCCGTGCACACCAAGTGTTTACAACTCCCAAAAATATGAGACTCTGAACTGAACGTTGACAGAACCCAGGACCAAACCTGTCACCCTTGCCTCGGTTTCCCCCCAAACCAACCCACCCTGGTTTGTTTTGGCCTCGATCTTTTGGAGTTCGCTGTGTTTTTTTCGCCCACTCGTCAAATATTTCGACTTTCGTTACCCAATCAAACCCTGGCAAACCCAACCAAGTGTTAAACGGTTGGAAATTAGAGACGCGAGCTTTAAGCAACATCCTCTCGCCACCTTAGCCTTTGGAATCAAGAAAGCCGGTACATGTTCCCCTTAAAGCAGCAGTATACATTTGACAGGGCCTGTGTGAAAAGTTTATAATGGTACTTTCTCTGGGGAGAAATCGTTTTGGACACTGTACAAACTCCAACAGTACGGTGCTGCGAAATCGTTTTGGGCACTATATATTACAATACCTAATGCACATTTTTACCAGCAACAGTGGTATAGGACTAAGAGAGGCGACACAGTTCACACTACAGTTCCAAACATCCAGCCCACAACAGCCTACAGCAGCTAAACAACAGCTAAACTCTGTAAGTTTGCTTGAACTTTCTACAATCACCCTTGTCTCGCTTCTACCCTGTCTCCTTGCCAAAGAAGAGAACCTCGTAAAAGCTCGCTGCATTTAGAGACGCCTCAAAAGTCACCTGTCAGTTCAAGCCGCCGGTCATTTCTTCTTGGCAAAGGAGACCAGCTTGAGAGAATCCGCCAACGCCGGCTGTTTCACCGCCGACGTCTGCCCACCGCCCACCGGCTGCGCTCCGCCCGACGTCTGTCCGTCTCCCACCAGCTGTGCTACCCCCGCCGGCTGTCCATTGCCCACTGCTGGCTGCGCCACGCCCGACGTCTGCCCATCGCCCACCACCGGCTTCTTTACAACCGGCTGTACTGCCAGGTGTGCTACCCCCGCAGGCTGCTTTACCGCTGCCGTAGGTTTCTCGAAAACCTCGGTCACGTAGGTGGTCAGGGGTGGCTTGATGCGGATGTGCCCGGTGTTCGCTGCTGGGGCGACGGCTTGCAGAGTGATGCTCCATTTGGTGCCGGCGACCACCTGGCTCTTGGCACTCTCGACTGAAACTAACCTGAGGCGCGCTTTCTGGTGCGGTGGGTTGGGGCGGTGTGGAGTGAGGTGGGGTGGGGTGGGGTGGGGTGGGGTGGGATGGGGTGGGGTGGGGAAGGAAGAAAAGAGGCTTGTGATGCTCCACTTGGTGCCGGCGACCACCTGGCTCTTCGCACTCAGAACCGAGATGAACCTGAGACGCGTGTGCTGGTGTAATGGGGTGGGGTGCGGTGGAGTGGGGTGGGGCGGGGCGGGGAAGGAAGGGAAGAGGCTTGTGATGCTCCACTTGGTGCCGACAACCACCTGGCTCTTCGCACTCACGACCGAGATGAACCTGAGGCGCATGTTTTGGTATGGTGGAGTGGGGTGGGGTAGGGTGGGGTGGGGCGGGGCGGGGTGGGATGGGGTGGGTAAGGAATGAAAGCACTTGAGGCTTGTCACGGGGCATCGTGACAAGGCAACCGCAGCCTTCAGCGAGACGAACCTGACGCTCGTGTTCTGGCCGGGTGAAGTGGGGTTGGGGAGGGGAGGGGAGGGGAGGGGAGGGGAGGGGAGGGGAAGAAAGTACTTAAGGCTGACACTTAAGTAAGTGCGGGTTCTTTAATATTAGCCACGTGGGGCTACTGTAACAGAAGGCGAGTGGAACCTAAGGGTCGTGTTCTGGTGCTGTGGGGTGGGAGATGAGGAGGGGAGGGAGAGCACTTGAGGCTTGTGGCCGACCATTGGCGTTGTAACACAGCGAGGCGAGACTTGACCGACAGGATCTTCGGCTCGGGATCTGGCGAGGTGGGGTTGGGGTGGGGTGGGGTGGGAAAGAAGGGGAGTACTTGAGGCTTGTGGCGGGCCATTGGCGTTGTAACGAGGCGAAATTTGACCGAGACGGTATTCGGCTCGGGATCTGGCGGGGTGGGGTGAGGAGGGGATGGGAGGAGAGAATTTCTGAGGCACCTCAACAGACAGTGGTAACCGAAGGCTCTGGTACTGAAACGTCTCCAACACATATGGTTTACTAAAGCCACATATTAGGCACTTCTAAAG